CGCTCTTATTCGGTTCGGTTCGGTTATTCGGTTAATAACCGAAATAGCTACCCCTAAGTTTGGTTCCCCGAAGAATTCTCAGAAGTTGAACAAACTTTGAGGCTAGACGTCAAGTCCAACGTACGGTTAGCCGTCAACAAGTCCCGACCACCTACCTGCATGGAAACGTTGCGAGGGTCCGAGCAATATATATCAAAGACAAAAGCCACAAAATAACTGAAAATATTTCATGATTAGGGAAATTAATTTTTTTTATCACTCCGCTAGAAGATACAAGTACGATTAATGAAAAATTGGTGACCAAAACCAGCTTATATCGGTAACTGACATATATATCCTCGCCAATTTTTAACATTTACCTTTTTGTCCGAGTATTCGAGATAATAAAAAAAAATTACCGGTGCGGATACCAAATTATATGCAGTCTTTTGGGTACGAATCCTGCAACCCTAAATTTTTCGGGTAATCGTTTCACGCCCACCACCACGAACAAAAACATTACTGTTTTGACCACCACGTGTAATGTTTTCCGGTAATCGAATCATTGATATTAATACATTGGTCACAACATACTATGTATAAGATAGAGAAGGGCAAATATTACCAAAAAAATAAGAAATGTGAATAAGTTTACCGTGTGTCTATCGTATAATATAAGATATGCAAACGACCCTCGGATCTAATGATCTCCTGGTGGTTTTGGTTTAAAACTTTCTCGGTGCCCTTAGCAAATCATCTATTCGTATTCTTCTTGGTAACCCAACACCAACACACGCATACAGTGGCGGATTTAGAAAATTATTCAATAAGGGGCAAACATAATTTTTTCTATTATAAATGGGGGCATTTCTAATTTTATTTGCAAAATTGTAAAAATTTACAAAGAAAAATACATTTTTTAATTAAACTAATGGGGGTCTTTGCCCCCATTGTCCTTAACGTGCATCCGCCACTGCACGCATATGTATATATATATATATATATATGTGTGTGCCATATATATATATATATATATATGCGTGAGAAAGTGATGTTAATATATCACGTCCTATGGTTTCGTAGGCCATTGCAGAAATCTCACCGTCGGGGATTTATCTATCCATAAGAAGTCACACCAAATGATCCATTACGTAAGGACAAAATGGTAAATTAATCAAGTCGACGCGATGGGTTGGGCCCATAAGGCCCATTAACAATATCAAACTTATCGAAAGGCCCATCAAGTGAGGTTCGTAAGTGCGTGTAATGTTCACAAAGAATGAGCCCGATTTCGGAGAAACCCTAACTGGTAGTATATATACGAGACGAAAAAACCCTAGAACCCAGAGAGAAAGAAGGGGTAGGAGAAAATGCCGCCGAAATTCGACCCGAGCCAAGTTGTAGAGGTGTTCGTCCGGGTCACCGGCGGTGAGGTAGGAGCGGCGAGTTCGCTCGCGCCGAAGATCGGTCCACTCGGTCTCTCCCCGAAGAAGATCGGAGAAGACATCGCCAAGGAGACGGCCAAGGAATGGAAGGGTCTCCGAGTCACCGTCAAGCTCACCGTCCAGAACCGTCAGGCGAAGGTAACGGTTGTTCCGTCGGCGGCGGCTCTAGTCATAAAAGCGCTCAAGGAGCCGGAGCGTGACCGGAAGAAAACGAAGAACATCAAGCACAATGGCAACATCTCCCTCGACGACGTCATCGAGATCGCCAAGGTGATGCGTGGGAGATCCATGGCGAAGGATCTGAGCGGAACCGTGAAGGAAATCCTCGGCACGTGCGTCTCGGTGGGTTGCACCGTCGACGGAAAGGATCCCAAGGATCTTCAGGAGGAGATCTCCGACGGCGAGGTTGACATCCCAAGCGAGTGAAACGGTACACATTTGAGCTTTTCTCCCTTGTTTCGGTTGGTTTTCCCAAGTATCATATGATTTCAAGATTCAGAACAGTGAACGAATTCGCCGGACAATTTTGTGTGATTGTTTATTATATGAATCTCGTTGTTGAGTTGAGGTAAATCCGATGACACGAAGGAAAATATGGATGAATTGGGCAAATGGGACATTGTTTATGTGTTTTCCATGGGTAAAGAAGAAAGCAATGACCACAATATCAGTTATCTGGAGTTGTGAGTCATTCAGGGATGAGCGTTTTGGTTAAGAAACAGTTTATTTGTTGATTGATTCGATTTGGTTCCAAGCTTTTTTACTATATGAATACCAAACAAAAAATTGCAATTTATATTCAGCCAGTGTTATCAATTGCTAACGAAAATAGGTCATGAATATTACGAAAGTGGATGATTTGGGTTTTTGGGCATCTCTCGAATTCCGTCCGAGAATTAGGGACGGTCATTTGTGGTTTTGGATTTGGTTTTTTTCCCAAGATATTTCATTTTTTTTTAAATTCGGGTTTATTCATCAGATTTAAACAGTTATTTTGATTAATAACCATGATTTATTGCTTATACAAAGATTGTACTAAATTCGAGTTATATTTGATTTTAGACCTTTTTTTTTAAACCGTAATAAATTGAAATATATTTTAATTGTGTGCAATATGAATAATAAGGGGAGTGAGAGGATTTTCATTGAAGACCGATTCGAACTTGAGAACCGAGAGAATCAGAGGAAGGGCAGAGTCGTAAATTATGGTGCATTTGAAGGGCTTATTCGTGTGGAGAATCTATAAGTTGGGCTTGGGCCTTTTTTTTTTTTTCACGATATGGAAAATGATTGGAACTGCACAACGCATTGCATGCAGAGTTTATATATATATATGATATAATGAAATGGTCCTCCAAGAAGCTCAAGAAAAGGATGTAGAAAAATCCACATTGTGTCCACATGAGTGATAATATTAAAGCTTACAAATATTCGGATTTCACAGGAAAAAATAATTTTGAAAAATTTATTGAACAAAATAATGAAATGTGGAACGAATGTTACATCATATGTTTCAGAAGTGGCACCACCTTTGCGTGTGTCGTGTCGTGCGCGACAGTCAAGTCCGGTCTGGTCTTTTTTAATCGTCTTTGTTGCTTTTCTCCAATTCGGCCAATCAATCCTAAAAGAATTATTTTACCAAAAAAATCGTAAACGAATTAAAATTGATATAAAAACATGATTTTTCAGGTATAGGTATAAATTAGACTGACGTTAATAGAATTTGGTTGTATTTGAAAGTTTTTTAAAAGTTTAGTTATTTATATGTAAGTTTTGAAAAATTAAGTATTGATTTGAGAATTTTATATTATGAATTTTGTAAAAGTTTAGATATTTATATGTCATTATCTTTTTTTAAAATCGAAAAAATAGGTTTTATTTTTAAATTATAATATTTTATCAATAAAAGCTAAATGCAAAACCAAAATGATCAGACTCCCATCCCCGACTTTGTCCTCCTCTCTTCTGCAAAACCAAAACTAAAACATTATTTCTTCTTCAATGCATATTTCCAACGTATGTGAATCTCTCTCTCTCTCTCTCCATCTCTCTGTAAGAATAGATTCTTTACTTTTCATTCAGCTTCTGCCCAGAACAAAAAGAAAAAGAAAAAAGGGTAAAGCATGTATACTTTCTCTCTCGCGAAAGCTGATGCTTCAGTAGCCATGTTTCAGCTTCTATCCAGATTTTGAAGCTCACTCTCTCTGTCTACCACTCGCATCCGTTTCCTTCCCAGATTAGCAACCCTTAATTTCCGGGAAAAAAAAGATGTTTCATCCTCATTCTGTGATAAATTTTCGAAAAACCCTTTTGTTTTTTTTTTAATAAAAAAACCCTTTCTTCAGTTTTGTTTGGAAAATTCCTGTGCGGACAAAGTTTTGGTCTTGTGGGGTTTCTTTTAGTTTTCGAGCGTGGAACTGAACAAAGAAATGATTCTGTGGTCTGTGTTTGTTAGCAAGTAAATTGGATGGCTCAAGCCTTTACATGAAGAGAAGGAAGTCTGAAATTAAGTCTGGATAAGATAAAGCAGTTAGTTTATGTTTCAGTTACGTGTCAGTTATTTATTCAGTTTGGTTTGTAAGTTATATATGTATGCAAGACTTGTGAAATATATATGATGTTTTCTGGATATCTCTGTTCTAGATTTCCTGGGTTTTTTTATAACAGAGTAAGAGTAGAAAAAGAAAGATTTACAGTGGTATCAGAGCATTGTCAAGGATCTTTCTCGGATCTGTAGGAGATGGATCAAACAGAAAATTTGACAACTTCAAATCCTGTGCAGAATGCTCCGATCTTCAATGGCGAGGCCTACCAGATCTGGGCAGTGAGGATGCGTGCGTTCCTCGAAGGTGCTGATCTCTGGGAAGCGGTGGGAGAAGATTATGAGATTCCTGCTTTGCCAGCGAATCCGACAGTCAACCAATTGAGGAATAATAGAGAGAGGGTGACAAAGAAGTCCAAAGCGAAATCCTGTCTTTTTGCTGCAGTAACGCCATCGATTCTGATCAAGATTATGAATCTCGATTCTGCCAAAGAAATGTGGGATTTCCTGAAGACAGAGTATGAAGGTGATGAAAAAATCAGAAGTATGAAAGTGTTGAACCTGTTGCGGGAATTTGAGAAGCAACAGATGAAGAATGATGAAACCGTGAAAGTTTATGTTGATCGACTGGTCAACATAATTAACAACATCAGAATTCTGGGCACAAAGGTTGATGATAACAAGATTGTTCAGAAGATTCTGGTGTCAGTACCTGAGAAGTTCGAAGCAACGATCGCTTCTCTGGAAAACACGAAAGAACTCTCAGCAATCAAACTACCTGAGATTCTCAGTGCTCTCCAGGCACAGGAACAAAGAAGGTACATGAGGAAAGAGGAGTCAGTTGAGGGAGCAATGAAGGCTAAGGCAAAAGGAAATAAACCAGACAAGGGCAAACAGAAACAGAGAAAAGAATCTGGAAATCCGATGCAAGGAGAAGCAAGTGTTGAAGCAAATGCCAGTCAGAATTTTCACGAGCCATGTAAACATTGCAACAAGAAGAACCATCCACATTGGAGGTGTTGGAGAAATCCGAACATCAAGTGTCGAGCTTGTAACAAACTTGGTCACATTGAAAGATTCTGCAGAAACAAGGTCCAACAAAAGGTTGTGGCAAAATCTGCAGAAACAACAGAAGGTGAAAACCTGTTTGTTGCCACATGTCTTTCATCATGCAGTAACAAAGATGGTTGGTTGATTGACAGTGGTTGCACAAACCACATGTCTAGTGATCGAAGTTTGTTCAAGGTACTTGACACTTCATTCAAGTCGAAAGTCAAGGTAGGGAACGGTGAATATATCACAGTTGAAGGTAAAGGAGATGTTTGTATCAAGACAACAAAGGGTGTCAAAGTATTGCCTGACGTCTTGTATGTTCCAGATATTGACCAGAATTTGCTGAGTGTGGCTCAACTTATTTCAAGAGGGTATAAGGTATGGTTTGGAGATGAAGAGTGTGTTATTGGAAATGATATTAACTCGTGTCTGTTCAAGATTAGGATGAAAAACAATAGTTTTTCATACATACCTGAAGCAAGCAAGGCTGAAGCTATGAAGACACAGTCACAGATCTCGGTGGAAAATCTCTGGCATAAGAGATTGGGACATTTCCATAGCAAAGGGCTAACTTTTATGTCGAAGAACAACATGTTGGTTGGTTTACCAGAATATCAGGAGGATGTAGCAGATTGTAGGACCTGTCCCCGTGGAAAACAGAGGAGATTGCCATTTGGTTCTTCATCTTGGAGAGCAAATGACAAGCTCCAACTGATCCATACCGATGTCTGTGGACCAATGCCTGTTCCGTCATTCACTGGAAGCAGGTATTTTATCATCTTTATTGATGATTTTACTCGAATGTGTTGGATTTATTTTCTGAAAATGAAGACAGAAGTTGATGATGTGTTTGCTAAGTTCAAGAACGAGGTTGAAAATGAGTCAGGGAAGAGGATCAAAGTGATAAGATCTGATAATGGGACAGAGTACACATCAAGCAGATTCAGAGATATATGTGAAAAGTCTGGGATAAAACATCAGTTTTCGGTACCTTATTCTCCACAGCAGAATGGGGTAAGCGAGAGGAAGAATAGGACAATAATGGAGATGGCTAGGTGTTTGATGTATGAGAAAGATTTGCCTAAACGTTTTTGGGCAGAGGCGTCAAGTACAGCAGTATTTCTACTCAACAGGCTTTCAACCAAGGCATTGGAGAAGCAAACTCCTTATGAAGCTTGGGTGGGTAAGAAACCTATCTGTACAAATTTTAAGATTTTTGGATGCCTGTGTTTTACTCTGATCCCTGATGTGAAGAGAGACAAGCTTGATGAGAAGTCAGAGATGGGTATATTTGTTGGATATAGTTTGGTTTCCAAAGCTTATCGAGTCTACTTACCAAACTCACATCGAGTTATAGTAAGTAGAGACGTTAAGTTTTTGGAAACAGAGACAGTGGTATCAGAGCATTGTCAAGGATCTTTCTCGGATCTGTAGGAGATGGATCAAACAGAAAATTTGACAACTTCAAATCCTGTGCAGAATGCTCCGATCTTCAATGGCGAGGCCTACCAGATCTGGGCAGTGAGGATGCGTGCGTTCCTCGAAGGTGCTGATCTCTGGGAAGACAAGAACCAGCATGCTATGAGGATGCCAAGTCTGATCAGAAATGGAGAGCTGCAATGGAGGAGGAGATTCGGATGATAAACAAAAATGGAACTTGGTCTCTCGTCAATAGACCAGAAAAGAAGAAGGTGATAGGGGTAAAATGGGTTTACAAGACCAAATTTAACCCCGATGGTTCGATCAACAAGCATAAAGCAAGGCTTGTTGTAAAAGGGTATGCTCAAGAATGGGGGGTGGATTATTCAGAAACATTTGCCCCTGTTGCTCGGTTGGACACGATCAGATTCTTGTTGGCTGTATCTGCACAAATGAAATGGAAGGTGTTGCATATGGACGTCAAATCAGCATTCCTGAATGGGGAATTAAAAGAGGAGACGTTCATTGAGCAACCCGAAGGTTTCAAAATCGAAGGAAATGAAGATAAAGTGTATTTGCTGAAAAAAGCGTTGTATGGTCTCAAACAGGCTCCAAGAGCCTGGTATGAGAGGATTGACCAGTGTCTTCAAGGTCTGAAGTTTGTCAGAAGCCTGAGTGAGTACACGTTGTACACCAAGAAAGGAGGAGGAGGGTTGACAGTTGTTTCCTTGTATGTTGATGACCTGCTAATAACTGGAGATGATAATGCAGAAATTGAAGACCTACAGGGTTTGCTGAATAAGGAATTCGAGATGACAAACCTTGGTCTCATGTCTCAGTTCTTAGGACTCGAAGTTCAACAGACAGAAGGTACGATTTTTATTGGACAACAGAAGTATCTTAAGCAGATTTTGACAAGATTTAATATGGAGGATTGCAAGAGTATGAAGACACCACTTGATCCGAAGGTGAAGTGTCAGAAATTTGAAGGAAGTGAAGCAATAGATGAAGGATTGTACAGAAGCATGATTGGATGTCTGATGTATTTAACAGCTTCAAGACCAGATATCTTGTTTGCTGTTAATATACTATCACGATACCTCTCATGTGCTAAGAAGGAGCATATGATTTCTGCAAAGAGGGTACTTAGGTATCTGAAAGGAACTCAGAACCTGGGTATCAGATTCAGATCGTGTCAAGAATTTGAGCTAGAAGGATATGCTGACAGTGATTGGGCTGGATCAAGTGAAGACATGAAGAAGTACTTCAGGTTTTTGTTTTTCACTGGGTTCAGGCTGTTTTTCATGGAGTTCAAAGAAGCAGAGCATTGTCGCACAGTCTTCCGCTGAAGCAGAATTCGTAGCTGCTACAGAAGCAGCAAAGCAAGCTATTTGGTTGAGGAAACTCTTGAAGGATCTTGGGTTGGAATGTATCAGACCGACAAAGATGATTATTGACAATCAAGCTGCAATTGCCATTTCACACAACCCTGTGTTTCATGGCAAAACGAAGCACTTCAAGATTAAGTATTATTTTCTGAGGGAGGTTCAAAAAGAAGGAGAAGTTTCCATGGTTCACTGCAGAACTGAGGAGCAGAAGGCAGACTTATTTACAAAGTCGTTTCATCCAAGCCGGTTCGAGTTGCTGAAACAGATGATAGGAATGTGTTCGAAGGCTCAAGCCAAGGAGGAGAATGTTAGCAAGTAAATTGGATGGCTCAAGCCTTTACATGAAGAGAAGGAAGTCTGAAATTAAGTCTGGATAAGATAAAGCAGTTAGTTTATGTTTCAGTTACGTGTCAGTTATTTATTCAGTTTGGTTTGTAAGTTATATATGTATGCAAGACTTGTGAAATATATATGATGTTTTCTGGATATCTCTGTTCTAGATTTCCTGGGTTTTTTATAACAGAGTAAGAGTAGAAAAAGAAAGATTTACAGTGTTGATAAAGACATGTACTGTTTGTTGTGTCTCTGTGTGCGATCTCTGTCTCTGAACTGTTCTTAGCTGTCTTGGGGCTTCTTAGCTTTCCTGCGATTTGCTCGCAACCTGTTCGATCCTTTGCCCAGCTCAACTTCTTCCTTTTTACATTTCGACAAGCTTCATAGTTGTCAAAGTTTGGATTTTTCTTCATGGGTATCCGTGCCTGTACTGAAATCTCGATTCAAAATAATGATATCGCTTTTCAGTTACCGCAAAAGATTCAGTGTTGACTAACCAACCCCTCAGTGTCCTCGTTAAGAACCCAGCTTTTCTACTTCGGTTTGAAATTCTGGGCTCCAACCCAATCGTTTAAGATAATCCACACAAATTGTGCTATGAAATCCCCTCTTCATGGATCATGTGAATCAATGAATGCATTTGGAAACCCGGTTCAGTTTACGGGTTTCTTCACGAACAAGTAAGTGGAAAACAGAGTTCCAGGACACAGAGGTCTTCCCATGGAGTAGTTCTTGTTTAGAGATGCGCTCCTTTTTCCGGTGGCAGCAGCTGCTGTTGCTGACCCTTGGTCAAGTTTCATCATCCAGTAATGTTAATTTCCATGGCCTTGGTAGCAGTTGCTCTTTGTTTATACAAGGTCTTTATCGTTCTTCGCAATTTGAAGGCTGAGACATTTCTTGTGCTGCAGCTCAGATTTCATTTGTTCCTGAGAATGGAATGACCAGAGACATCAGCTGTAAACTAGGAGAACTGAACACTGTGTCTCTGTGAGTGAGCAGCTCACCTTGGTTTTCTTAGTGTCTGTCTTGTTTTTCTTTCTTCACATCCTACATTGACATCTCAGAGCTTATAATTGACTGTTATGGCTCACTTCTGAATGCAGCCAAAGGAGAGGAGAGAGTCCGGTTATTGAGGGCAACGATGTCCCGACTCTTACTCCTATTCAAGAAACCGATGCCGAGAAACCAAGAAAGCAGAGATTTGCTGCAGTGATTGGTGGAATCGGAGCAGCTTTCCTTGTATTTCTCATCGTCGGGTTTATATACATCTACTTGATGTGTGTCGGAAGGAGGAGATTCTTGAGGCAAACGACATCCGAGACAGTTTCTTCTCCTCTTCCATCTCCTCGTGGTAATAGTTATGGTTGTCTCATAGTTACACATGTCGTCAGGAGAATAAAAAACGTTTTGATTGTTCTTGAATTGGCTTCTTCCGGGTTCTTTAGAGATGCAGGAGAAGATCAAGATTTCGTCATGTGGTAGTACACAGAACCTGAGGAAGATAACACTTCCGGAATTGGATCAAGCCACAAACTATTTCAACCAGAATAACATGATGGGTGAAGGGCTTTTCGGTTCAGTATACAAAGGGTTACTTCAAGACGGATCAATCGTGGCTGTGAAAAGACGGATACACAACCAGAATCAGTCATTCGTTCGCGAGGTGAAACCATTCTTGCCCATGCCAAGAATCAGTGCAGAAGAGCATAAATTCATACTAATGTATTATGTAATGCAGTTGAATCGCTTGGCTCAAGTTCAGCACAAGAATCTTGTTAAGATCTGTGGGTATTACGAGGATACCCATCAGCAGATTCTGATCTCAGATTACATCCACAATGGAGACGTTGGACGATACCTATATGGTAAAGTCTTCTCTGCAATCCATGTTCATATATGTGAAGTCTTGCTTGACTTGTTGCTGTTGCAGACAGTGATGGCATTCCCAATGGAAGGTTAAACATTCAGCAGAGATTGCTCATTGCCTTAGATGCCGCCAAGGGTACACTTTTGTTTCTCATCCATGGTGATGATTCACACTGATACCAAGCCTTATTGGTATATATATATATATATATATATATATGCAGGGCTTGAACACTTGCATGGTTTGGATCCTCCACTGGTTCATATGCATTTCAGAACGAGAAACGTTCTTCTTGACGAGAATTTCACAGCAAAAGTTTCCGATTATGGAATATCTAGATTGGTATGCGAGGATTCGCACCAAGCTGGACCTTCTTCGACATCAACCGATAGTTTCATCGATCCTCTGTTCGCAATCTCTCCTTTGAGCCCGTTAAAGTCTCAAACTTTACAAAACCCAGAACTGAAATCCATCTTCCCCCATTGCTTTTCTGTTTCTTGAAGGTCAAACGATCATCTTTCTCAGAGGAGTACGTATACGGTTTCGGAGTATTCTTACTTGAATTAGTCATGGGAAAGGAAGCAAACGATAGAAACGGGTCAAACCCAGATCAAAGATTCGTGTTCCTGGTAAAACAACATGAGCAGAAACATCGTTGTAATATCCTCTGAAATCAAAGCTCTTAGAATTTACCAGAAGCTTCCATTGTTTTCTTCTTGAAAGGCGAAGACTTGTGAGAGATACAGAGATATAACTGATCAAACTCTGGGAGATGACGCGGCAGAAATGGCGGAAGAGATGATGGAATTGGCGTTGCAGTGTACGGATGATGACCAGATAAGAAGACCGTTGATGAGAAACGTTGCAATGAAGCTCCAAGAGATTCAGAAGCTGAGATTCGGGAAACTGTACGATGAAGAAGAGATCGGTCCTGTCACACTTGGGAGTGAGCTCTTCACTTGAGATTTCGTCTCATTTCCCCTCTGTCCATTATGCTTCTATAAAAGAAATTTCTGTAAGTGGTAATTTCAAATTCAAAGAGTATATGAATTAGCAGTGACCAGGGTAGCCAATTCGGGTTTCGGTTCGGTTTTATTTGGGTTTAGTTATTTCGGTCATAGAAAAACTATAACCATTCGGTTTTTATATAAATTTCGGTTCGGTTCGATTCGATAAAAAGTTTATTTTTTCAAAGAAATTGTCGGTTTTTTCGGTTTTTTTTTTATCATGTTCCGTTCGATTCGATTTCTGTTTTTTTCGGATTTAAAGAAATCATTACCGTTCAATTTTGATGTCGAGTTCGGTTCGAATACGATTATATCTTATTCGGTTCTATTCAATTCGGTTATTCGATTAATAATCAAAATTACCATTCCATATAAAAACTAAATAATCTCGAAATTCGGTATGATTTTCTTTCCATTAAAAAAGTAATCTCGAAATTCGGATTTTGACAACTTGTGACCGTTGGGGAATTAACATAATTTTCAATAATGTTTCTTCAACGGTACTACATAAGCAGTTTGATCGTACATGAAACTGTTTTTTTTTTTTTTTACAAGACCTTTACGTGGATTTAAAAAGATTTTTTAAATAAAAAATTACTAAATAAATATAAAAGGAGGAGTTGCCATAATACATATTTTTTTTTCTTCCATATTTCTCTTTTAGGATTAGTATGTATTCCAGTTCATCCGGTTTGAAAATAAAAACAACTATTATTTTTTTAATACAATATACATTTCATAAAAAAAAACTATATTTATTTACATTAGTTATCATATATGGTTTCATACCATAGAATATATTATCCGTCTTGTTTTTTTTTTCTTTTTCACCTGTCCAATCAAAAATCATGTTTACAATTGATTATCGAATACAATTTGGCAAATAACAGCTTCCATACCATTCTTTATGCGTTCAGATAAAATGATGAATTAGTGGTAAAAACACTTGGCCCTTGCTTTTCCAATTTCCCAAGAAAGAGTAATAATAAAGCAAAATGCAGATTACAAAAAGCAATAATAATAATATCCCAAAGACGGAGACAAAAGGGACAGAACACTAAGAACAAGAGTAGAAGAAGAAGTAAAGCCCGAAACCTGTTTCAACAGCCCATCACGGCACAGTTATAGACAAACACTCCAACATTCTCCTTCACGCCCACAACTTTCCATTCCAAGTTTCCATCTTTCCTTCTCGATTGAGGCGACCACGAATTCACCACGACGCCTTCCCCTTCCGGCCCTCGCTGCCCCCCCACGACCAACAGTTCATCCCCGCAAGGTTTGAATGCTAAGCCCCATCCGTTCGATGAATCCGTCATAGGCGGAAGCCTTCCCATCACACTCCATCTGTTCTTCCCTTTTTCGTATTTCTTCACCATGTTGGTATGGTGCTCCAGCGTGAACAGCTCGTTGTTCACCACTGCTACAAGTGGTGGAGCCTGAGCTGCCCGGTTCACGTTCGGGTACATCCCCTCTATCTTCCTCCATTTTCGGGTCTCGAGATCGAATTCCTCCCCACATGTCAGTGAAGCTGTCGGGCTTGACATCCCACCTATCACGTAAAACTTTCCATCCATGAAAAACCCGGAGCATAATCTACGAGGCAAGTTCATGCTAGGCAACATTTCCCATCTACCCCAGGTGGAATCATAAAGCTCGGCCGATGCAAGTATGTTACCGTTCTTGTCGGTCCCTCCGGCAACTATGGCTATTGATCCTAGGCTTCCCGATGCAAACAAGCAGCGTGGTCGGTGCATTCCTTCGCACTTGATCCAACAGCGGAACTTCAAGCTGTATTTCCAAATGGCAAAGTCGAATAACTCTCGCCCGAAAACCAAAAGCTCGTCCCCAACAGCTAATGACTCTTTATCTGCATGGTTGAAGCACTCGTCACAAGGCATCTTAGGCAGTACCATCCATTTCTTTTTGGCAAGAGAAAACGCCAACCACCCTCTCGGGTCACAAACCATAAATACAAAATGCTCAACTACGACAATCCCCAATTGCTTCCTCAACCCAAACAAATATTCGCCTTTGATCAACCTATTGTACTTCTTGTTTACACATGATAGTGAAGGATAGTCCGATCTCGGAACCCAAGCTAGACAATTCAGGGCCACATCATCGATAAGACCGGGGAGAAGCGAGTCACTTGATCCCAATCGGATACGACCATCGTTCACTCCCGCCCTAGCATTCACCACAGAAGCAGAAACTTCCAATCTATCCCCGTCCTCAGCCATATCCTCGAATGAATGGCCCGTAACCATGATTATCGTTAAACCAGTTTCAGAAATGATGAATTACCCGAACAAAGAAAGACAAAAACAAATCTGATTCAAGAAAACTTGTCAAGATTCTAGTATCAAACACCCCTTCTCAATTGAGCAACTCTCTTGTCCCAGTATCCGGAAAACAGATTCCGATCTTTGCTGCCCCCAAATAATCTCCACTTGTTTATTGTGTCCATCAATTTAACGAATCAAAACAATAGCACCCATATTTCAATCTTTTACCCAACCCGAGAGCTCCAACTCCGATTCGAGACCAAATACAACAGATCGAACTCCGAATCAAACAGTCCGATGACCAATTTGAAACCGGGGGTCAAAATCCAATCACCAATGCAGAACCCGACAACCTAACAGACGTTACCCAATCGACGAATCGCCGATGTCAAGAATCGCCTCATTTCTCTTCGGTTGCAACCAGAATCATCTGAAAATACCATATAAATTCAGATAAATAGGAAACTAGTCATACAATCATAGCCAAATACTTTAAAAACGCTACAATCCCGACCGATGAAACCGCACGAGATTAACAAGAAGGAAAAAGTTAGATCCAAATCCGAGATTCGAAACAAAAAAAAAAATCCAAAAATCTGGATAGGAAACGGGTCCAGATCCGAAAATCAAGAACACGCGGATCTCAGGAACGGAACAGCGAACTCGAAAACAGGGAAAAATCCATGCAACACAACCAGAAGCGAAGGATGCCCGCAAGCTTACCGAAAACCTCCAATGGATTGATACGGATCTCGTTGTCGCGGGTCATTCCGGTCACCTTCCGGAAACTATTTGCCGATGAAAATCTCTCCGGCGACCGGCATAGAGACGGAGAGAGAAAGAGAGAGACAAGGAGAGAGACTGCAACAGAGAGACTGAAAGAAGATTTACAGGAGAGCATGGGTTATTAAACGGAAGCGAAGCGGAGAGGAAAAACTATATTTGCATTATCGTCCAAATCTTTTAGATATTATCATTTTGAACCCTGTAAAATTCCATGAAATAATCGAGGAATTAATAGCGAGATCTCTCTTATTCATGAGTCATAATATCGATGACATGTAATTTTTCTTTGATGAAATATTTCATAGAATTGACTTTATAATCGTTTTTCTACGGTTATCATTTGTACAATATTTTAATATGATACTGAATATTGAATAATATCGTTAAAATCTCACACTTATCAATTATGAGATTAGTTGATATTTTATAGAATTATGTGCATCTTTCCCCCCATATAAACTAGTTTTTAAGGGTAAATTCTTAACAATAGACCTTGTGAGAACGAATTCGAATTAATTAGAAAAGTTTTAGATTTTAATTATAATTAAAAATTATAATTTTTCAATAATAAATCCCAAATTCATAAAATTATATCATAGTCTTTTTTTGGATAAAACCTGAAAAATTTGAGAATTATAATGACATATCTTGAAGTTTGTGAATAAATTTGTTAAACCAAAAAAATTTTAAAATTTATTTTACATCATTTTCAAAAAAATTTATGAGTTTGAAAAAATATTGATGTATTATTTAACTGAAATTGGGCTTTACCCTCTTCTATATATTTTTCATGAATCACACCATAAAAATATAATAAGAGCAATTTGCCCAATATGTAATATTCCGTCATATTTAATGACTACATGACTACATACACACACAAACAATAGTTGCGTAAATTAAGAAAGAAATGAAATAAATGGAAAATTAATTTAGGGGGACCCACGGGATCAGTGATCTAGTAAATGAAATTAATGGAAAATTAGAAAGCGAGGGTACAGACAAGAGACCGCACTAGGGTTTGGTTGGTAAGTGTTGGATCTTTATGTAATTAACGAAAAAATAAGAGGCAGAAATAGAAGGAACGAAGAGAGTGAAACGAACAATTTACTGTTCCTGGCGGCGCCAAACAAAAATTGACCAAATGAATTACAGTAATGCCACCAACATGAGCCTCGTGATTATCCATTAACCCCGAATCTTAACGCACGTGATTATCACTAACCCCTCACCCTTTCCTTTTGATTTTTCAATTATTCTATTTTCAGACCCACGCCCCCCCGCGTTGGTTTTTCTTTTTAGTTTATTCTCTCGTTTTAATTTCTTTAAAAGGAAACAACCAAACAAAATTTGTTGTTTTATTTATAAAAATTAAATCGAATGATTTATATTAACTATAGAGTTTGAATTAGCAGATGGTTAAACGGGTTCCGAAGTCTAAGAGAAGAAATATGATTCATTCACACACTTTGAACTTCGGTTTGACCATTTTGACGAAACGGATTCGGTCAACGAGAAAAATCTACTCATATTCCCCCGTGTTCCTTGTAGGTTACGGAACGTTTGTACCAATAAAAAAAACTCTGAAAGATCACACGGCCTTTTCGGGTCAGGTGAAAGTTGGCTCTTTTTACATTTCTCTGGTTTTGTTTTTACCGTTTTTCATCCTACGCTATTAGGACATGTAACTGCACAGGATTTTTACTGCAAAGTGGACAGTAACAACTCACCTTTGCAATTTAAGGCCTTCGATCAAGCTTCTTCTCAGAAGTGGATTCGGATTCAGTTCAGAGGATTACGAACAATCTGTCAAGCCCATACCAGACAAAAACAACAACAGGGCATTTGTCAAGTGCTCACCTTGCCATAAGTATCCTGAAGGCTCTCACCGAGAAACGGGTACTGTCCCATGTATCCGCAGCTCGGCCACCGTGTGTTACACCTGATCCATACCCGAGAACCGATACCATTTCCATGCACGCACACTGACTCGAGATATTGTACTCAGATGGGGAAGACCAAAGAGAGAAACCTGACCTACACAACATTCTGGAGCAGTGAAAACAGGAGTCCTGGGAGAGATCGGCGGAGTTCATCATCATCACCCTGGCAGTAACAGCTCATACTGTTGCCATTAGAAAACACATATCAAGAAACTGATGAAGGATGAGGAAACACACTAGGGTTTTAAGTCGGCCTTCATATCCCCGAGGATAATTTCTGGATTTTTTTTTCTTTGCATCAAATCAAGCGAGAAGACGGCGAGAAATCATGGTGCTAATCGGGCATATCATGATGGAGATCATCATCATACATGAGCACGGAGGTACATCATCAGAGCAGCAACTACATCCTGTAAGTACTTTTTAGCAGTTTCCTCTCCAACAGCACCCGGTGGTCCAGATTTCTCGTCATTGGCCAATTCTCCATCAACATCTTGGTTGTGAAAAAAGCGAGGCGCTAAAAGGTCTTAAAATCCGGGACACAAGAGAGACGCAAGTATCCTGTGTATTTTTAATAAAAAATTTGTAGTTAAAATATATTAAAAATTCTTTTATATTAAATATACATAATAAATTATTTAAATTAAAATAGTTAACATTCAATATTCAAAATTAACGAAATAAAAAATCCAAAAACTTAAAACAAAGGGAAACAACAATTTTGGTTTAATTGTTATAATAATATTGATCTAGATTAGATATTTTTTTTTAAAAAAGTTGATGTTTAGTTTTTTTAAAAAAAAATCGGGAAGTTTATTTTTAATTCCAATGATTTTGAACATTGAGACTTGAATTGAAGAGATTTTTAGAGTTTTTAAAATTCAAAAACCAAAAAAATTGACAATAAATTTTTTTATAAAACTAGTTTTCATAAAAACTTGAAAAACCACTTTTAACAAAAATCAACTAAAAACTAAAAAACTCTTTTTTTTGGATTTATGAAAACTAAAAACCAAAATCCAAAAATAAAAAACTAAATACCAAAAACAAAAACCAAAGAGGTGGTTTTCCCACGTCTTAAAAGTTAAAAATCTAAAATATCTCCAATCATGATTTTTTTTATTTCAATTTTCCTAAAAACCCAGAAAATCAATTTTTTTGAGGAAGTAACGTAAAAGCCAAAACCAATCTTTTATAGATTTTAGAGATTTGTTATTAGACTTTTTATTTTTATTAAAAAAAAGATTATATAAATGATTTTAAAGACAAAAATACTCATTGTTTTAAAAATAATTTCACATTATACCTATATTTATATAAAGACAATATTCTTACCATAACTCATATTTTTTGAAAAAATTTTTATAATTTAAAGTATATAATTCAAATTTTATTATTCAAAATATATATTGTAGTCATCTTATATTGTTATTACTAATATTAATAAATATAATTTTTGTTTTCATGCTAAAAAATATTTTTGGTAATTTTTAAATATAAAATCTAAAACCAAAAACTAAAATATTATTTATACCAATCAAGTTTTCTAAAAACTGTAAAAACTACAAAAGCTAAAAACCAAAAACTAAAAACCAAAAACTAAAGTAAAAAATCCAAAATAAAAATCATTACTATTCAAGGTCTGGATAATAAGACTTTGACTATAATATCTTTTATTTTGAGTTTTTTGCTTTAGATCTTGAATGGTAATGGTTTTTATTTTGGTGTTGAATGGCAAAAGGGTTTTGGGAGTTTTTGGATTTTAAAAACTCAAAAAATTATCAATCAAGTTTTTAAAATTTGGTTTTCCTAAAAACCAGGAAAACCACTTTATGGAAAGAATTGAACTAAAAACTAAAAGCTATATTTTTTTAGATTTACAAATCTATAAAAACCAAAAACCAAAAACCAAAAACTAAAATCTAAAAACCAAAAACTAAATCCAAAAACTCAAAAGAAAAACCCCATCCATTCAACACCTTTGTGTTTTTTGCTTTAGTTTTTGGTTTTTGGTTTTTAGCTTTTGGTTTTTGGTTTTTGTAGATTTTACAGTTTTTATAAAACTTGATTGGTAGAAATAATATTTTAATTTTTGATTTTATATTTAAAAATTATCAAAAAAGTTTTTAACATTAACACAAAAATCATATTTATTAATATTAGTAATAACAATATAAGATGACTATAATATATAGTTTGAATAATAACATTTGAATTACATGACTTAAATTATAAAATCTTTTCCAGAAAAATATGAGTTATGGTAAAAATGGTAAGAATATTGTCTTTATATAGATATAGATATAATATGAAATTATTTTTAACAATGAATATTTTTATCTTTAAAATAATTTATATAATTTTTTTAAATAAAAATAAAAAAATCTAATAACAAATCCCTAAAATTTACAAAAGAACTCTCTAAAATCTACAAAATAGTGGTTTTTGACTTTCCCATTAGTTTTTCAAAAAATTGACTTTCCGGGTTTTTAGAAAAACGAAAATAAGAAAATCATGACTGGAGATTTTTTAGGTTTTCAACTTCAAAAAACTGAGAAAACCACTTCCAGTCAAGGACTTACTTTTTAATTTTTGGTTTTCGATTTTGGTTTTTGGTTTTTGTAAATTCAAATAAAAAGAGTTTTTTAGTATTTAGTTGATTTTTTTTTGTTGAAAGTAGTTTTCCAAGTTTTTAGGAAAACTACTTTTATGAAAACCTGATTGTCAATTTTTTTAGTTTTTAGATTTTAAAAATCCAAAAAGCCTCTTCCATTCAACGCCTAAGGTGTTGAATGGATGGGGTTTTTATTTTGAGTTTTTGGTTTTAGTTTTTGGTTTTTAGATTTTAGTTTTTGGTTTTTGGCTTTTGGTTTTTATAGATTTGTAAATCCAAAAAAATATAGCTTTTAGTTTTTAGTTCAATTTTTTCCATAAAGTGGTTTTCCTGGTTTTTAGGAAAACCAAATTTAAAAAATTTAGATTGATAATTTTTTGAGTTTTTAAAATCCAAAAACTCCCAAAACCCTTTGCCATTCAACACCTAAATGTTTTGTATTTGATCATTTATAATAGATATTTAACATGAAAAAATTTAATATAATTGAACTATAAATTTTTTATGGGAAAATCCAAAAAAAAAACACTGAATTTTTAAATTTTGACAAAAAACACTGAATTTTTTATTTTATCAAATAAACATTAAACTTTTTTAACTTTGACAAAATAAACACTTAACTCTTCAACGATTGTCAAAATAAACAAAATGACTGACGTGGCACAATGAGATGCAAACACGTCAGATTATTTTTTTTAGTTGTTTTTTTTTACAATCGAAAAAAGTTCATGTATTTTTTTGGATCACTAAAAAGTTCAGTGTTTTCTTGATAATCAGAGAAAAGTTTATGTATTTTTTGGATCATTTAAAAAGTTCAGTGTTTTTTAGATTCGTTTAAAAAGTTTAATGTTTATTTGACAAAAAATAAAATTCGGTGTTTTTTTTTGTCAAAATTGAAAAGTTCAGTGTTTTTTTTTATTTACCCATTTTTTATTTAAAAATACGGTGGACGACTCGTCTCGCGCCTCAGATTTTAGGTCCCTTTATATAAGTGTGTCTCGTGTTTTTTTATAACCAAGATGGTACCTCGTGGAGAACATTTCCCATAGTGGTTTCTGAAGGTGCACCCGTAGCCTTGGTAAAAACGACTTGTGAAATGCCCAAATGCGTATTGTTTACCATAATCTGCACTCTCCCGTTACACAATGACGATTAGTCATAGTTCAAATGAAATATCATAAAAGTAGAAACACAAAATGAAAGCCTTGCGGCAGCACTAAGGGAAAAGAGAACTCTAATATACCTTGATAGCATAATGCTTGCCGTCTAAATCCTTCGATACAGAACCTGTAGTACAAGCAAATAATAATGCTACCACACGACATGTTTGCTAGAAGATTAGGTTGAACATGCAAAATCCAAAATCCATGCATGGAAATGAATTATATAGATGTGTTAATTTAGAAAAACTTTATAGTAGGGATGTGTGATTACGAATATAAACATTAACTAAGTTTGCAAATGATGGGGGTGGCTTTAACCATCCACAATTGCTCGGAAAGAGGAAGTGATCACGACCATCCGAAAGAAGAAATGGCTAGTCACTCCTATGCCTTTTCTACTACCCAACAGACTATTAAACTCGCTTACTATAAGGCATTTCGTTCCGGGGAAATCGTGAGGTACATTCTAGCATTCACTTAAGGACCTGTTGAGGGGATGATAACCTTGTATCCAATCCATGCTTACCAATTTGCCGTAGCTACCGGATCATCTTCTTTTTTTTCCCATTTTCATCCTGAAATCAATGAAGAAATAAATAAATGAAGCCAAACAATCAGATGAAAAGAATGACTTGGATTCTGGGAAAATAATTGAACTTGCTTCGCAAATCCCATCATGGTCTAGTAAAAATCATCTATCAAAAGATCCCGGGAAAACCCACAATGGTTTTTACTCAGATAGGTCTTGGATGATTGACTAGTTCTCCTCGAGCGCCCAAAGCAATCCATTGCATGGGCAAACGAAAAGCTATCTCTAAAAATCTGGCTTTAAATGTGCAATGAAAAATTCTCAACTGTTGAGCTAACAACTCTGGAACCTGTAATAGCATTGAATTAATATCGATCAACATCAGGGTTTGATGACAACAGAGCACCCGTAATCCAGCACAGGGAACCCTACCCTTAGGAGCAACGGACTAAAACCAGATTACTATTCAAATTAACACATGTAATAGCAAGAATTGGCAAACATGCACCATAAGCATCTCCCAATTCACAACCCAACTCTACTACAAGAAAAAATCCAAAATGAAAAAAAAAATCTTCAACATGGGATATATGACGTCAAATCCAGCACAAATCATCCCAATGCTCTAGAATTCACCATCTATTCATGATAAATCATTCAAAAGCAACCGTTGCACAGACATCTACTGCTCTAAAGTTTCAAAATCAGAATTAGAAGCTCATTCAGACCAAACACCAACTCCCTTACTCTGCAAAAAAAACAGTTTCGACTTTCGAGGGCTCGAAAGTCTTCAAAACCCAATCAGGTTTCGTTACTCCAAAGGATGCCATTCAACCAGATGAACAAAACAACTCGAGGCATCGAAACTACTACGACTTAAAAGTAGCATCACTTTATAACAAATATATTTGCAGAAATCTCAACCCTCAGCCACCCTCTTCTTCTCTCCACAAGGCAAAACTTTAACTTTATGCCATCAATTGTTAAACACAACAATAACTCAATAGCCACCAATAAACGCAAGAATGAACTCGGAATTCCTGCAAAAAGGGACAACTGCTCATTCAATTCATCGCCAACCAAACCCCTGATACCAATAAAAACCTTTTCACCATAAATATATACAAACATCACATTCAGGATAAGAATCATAAAATCAAAATTTCTGCCACAAATGAACATACTTTTTCAAAAAGATTTTCTACAGCAATCATGACATCACAAGCGAAAAAAATAATAAGGAAATCGAAAGAAACCAACATTCCACAAAAAATACATACATCTTAAATGCAGTCGACATGAAGCACAGAGGGCGAGAAGAAGAAGAACAAAGGCCCAACGGACCTTCAAAGAGCTTAATACCCGTAGCATCATAATCGAGCGATTCTGGCTAAACGCCACAAACCCTAATTTCGAAATCGACGACCCGCCAAAAGGAATGGAGAAAAGTACAAAATGTATATCATCCACAATATTTGAAGACGGTAAACGAAAAATGGAAAACCTACAATCCAAAAGAAACCCTAATGGACAAAAAAAATTTACATTGAAGGAAAATTCAAACTGATCAAATTCGATCCAAGCATAGATAGACGGAGAAAGGGGGAGTATTTGCCGAGAGCTAGGGTTCGGAGGCGCCGTGAGTTAGAAAAACACTAGCATAACTTCTCCCTCCCCTTGTTTTTTTTTTAGATTTGAATTGTTTTAACTTTCAAGTGTTTTTGGTTTGATCACTGTATACTGTTAATCGTATATATACAACTTAATTTAGGGTTCTTTTGTAATTTTTAAGTTTTCTAAGGGTTAAAAACCAATTTCGATAAAGTACCATAGCCGCAGACATTTAGATATTCAATACCTCATTAGCAATATTAAATATTAATATTTAATGGATTAATACCAAATTAAAATTCATGAATTCGGTAATTAGTGGGAGATCAAAATATTGACTGAAAAAAAAATAAAACAAAAGGGTGAGAAATTGTCGTACTCGAAACAACAAATCAAGAGGCTGTCGAGTCGAGTGCAAAAACAGAGTCATCCGACGCGTTATTACATCTCTCTCTCCCTCCCTCTCTCTCTCTCCCCTCCGCCGCCGCCATGACCGTCGGGGTATTAGCTCTGCAAGGTTCGTTCAACGAGCACATCGCGGCGCTGCGGCGGCTCGGTGTTCAAGGGGTTGAGATAAGGAAGCCCGAGCAGCTTCAGGCGGTTAATTCTCTGATCATCCCCGGCGGCGAGAGCACCACCATGGCCAAGCTCGCCGAGTTCCATAACCTGGTTCTCCCCACCACTCTCTCTCTCTCTCTCTCTCTCTCTCTCTCTCTCTCTCTGTGTTTACATATGCTTGGACATGTGTTCTGTACAACATTTGTTTGTGTCCACATGTATATATATGCGTATCCGATGTGTCCGGGAATGTAATTTCGTGTTCTTGAGGACCCACTTGAAGAATCTAGGAAAGGTTCTGCCTTTTGTGTGTGAAAAATATGAAATCTGTCTTTTTGCCCCAAATGGGCGCTTCGGAATTATGAAAAGTTTCGTAGGAATTGCTGGATTCCGGAATTCAGACTATTCGAGGAAGAAAACCCTCAAACAATCTGGTTTCTTTCCTTAGGATGTATATCTCTCTCTGTTTTTCTCTATGATTAATGGTCGCACGTTGGTGTCTTTCTGCAACTGTTCTATTTTGTCAGTTCAGAATCTTGCCTGGTAGAGGAAAGTGCATCATAATACGCTTCATCTTCGTCTCAATTGTGAAAAATCCTTGGTCTGATGATTTGTAATCCGGAAGGAATTGTTCAAAGGTCTTGGCTTTGAGATTGTGTGGGTACAAGGTTTTGAGATGGGTTTCGTTTTCTCTGCATCAGTCTTTCAATCTGTATGTTTGCGTGGATTATTCGGGTTTGTAGATTGCTTAGATCCTGTACTTTGCTCATGTTCCTTGTTTGTAACTGTTAAGAGACCACTCTAGTAGTTTGTTTTTGTGATGATTTCTCTTTAACAGTTCACAAAATGTAAAAGTGAAGACTTTGTTCATTGCATTTAGATTGATTTTAAGAGATCCCATTGTGTTTAGAGATGTTGCTCCGTTGTGACAGTGACAAAGGACGATACTTCTCTGTTCTTATGCTGTTCTTTTCTTCCCCTTTCAAAGTTCCCTGCTCTACGTGAGTTTGTAAAGGCGGGGAAACCTGTTTGGGGAACATGTGCAGGTCTTATCTTCTTGGCTGACCGAGCGGTTGGTGAGTTCCCCTCGATCTTTCATCTTCGTTGTCAAGATCGATGTGTATCAAATTTTCTCAGACTTTCCTATAATGGTTTTTCTGCAAATAGTTCGGGAGTATGACGAGAAATGCTTGAAATTTCAGGACAGAAAAAGGGAGGGCAGGAATTAATAGGTGGCCTAGATTGCACTGTGCACCGGAATTTCTTCGGCAGTCAGGTAAAAATTATGCGTTTCGCTGATAATTTTCAGTTTTGTTCTGTTTCACCGGTCTTCGTGACCCATATGTGTATGTATTCACAAGTTTGTAGTTTCATGTAATTCACTTGCGTCATCGAACATCATCTTTAGCGGGTTGAAAGAAAAAGCTAGAATGTTCTTCGGCAATATGATGCTAGGCCGAGGTTTACTCGTGAATTATTCTCTGCTATATTCAGATTCAAAGTTTTGAAGCCGAGATTTCAGCCCGTCGGCTTGCATCTTACGAGGGCGGACCAGAGACATTCCGCGGAGTTTTCATACGTGCACCGGCCGTTCTTGATGTTGGTCCCGATGTCGAAGTGTTGGCCGATTATCCTGTCCCGTCAAACAACGTGTTGTATTCAAGCTCTACCGTACAAATTCAAGAGGTTTGCTTATATATATACACACACACATTATCATCAATCCAATCTGTTTCGCCTGAAACAACCTGGTAATCTTGTCTGGAAGAACCGATGAATAAATGTTCATACTTTTTAACCAATACAAGGAATGTGTACCCTAAAACATGTCTTTCAGTAGCAACCTGCATAAAGTTTACATTTTTTTTCGTGGGTAACTGGAATGAACGAACACTTATGGATTTATTTGCATTTTCTTGTTGATTTCACGATCTCGGGTTCTCAGGAAGATGTTCTTCCCGAGAAGAAAGTCATCGTCGCTGTGAAACAGAAAAACTTGTTGGGTACTGCATTCCATCCCGAGTTAACTGCCGACACCCGATGGTAAAAGCGATCTCCAGATTAATTCTTTTCCCAGTCTTTTTCTCGTTTCGGCCTCTCTGATCTGATTGTTCTTCATCCGTAACAGGCACAGTTACTTCCTGAAGATGACGAAAGAGATCGAACAAGAGGCTTCTTCAAGCAGCAGTTCCATTGTCCCCATTGGAGGAACGAGCTTGGATGCAGAGCAAGTAAAGCCTGATCTTCCCATATTTCAATAACCGATTAAAGAACCCGGGAGCAGAAGAAGAAGAAGAACGAAAAACACTTTTCCCGAAATAAAAACTTGGAAAGTTTCGGGTTTTATTTCGTCATATTTTGAAAAACGCAAGATAGTTTTCATCATTCAAAAGAAATTCCATAGGTCTCTCCCAGCAGATTCATGTATTGTTTTCTTGATTTGGTTCGGTCAATACAGCTCGCGGTAGCTTGTTGAACTGAAGCAACCCTATGAGTTTACATAAAAAAAACCCTTTTGCCTCTCGATTCTGCTACTCGGTTCATGTGGTATCAGTGCGACAAGACTGAAAAGGCTAAAACTTGTGAAAACCGATCTGAGTTTGAAACTCGGTTTTGGTTCGGTTTGGTTTGATTTAGGCTGAAAACCGATCGGTCTGCAACATTTTCCACGTTCTTGGTTTGGTTTCTCTTTGATATCTCGAAAAGGTCCAAGCTTGCAGGGTGAGAAAGGTCAAACATGTCTTACAGTATACACATCTACAGAGATGGAAAACATGGGGTTTCTTCGTTTATGTCAAGAACCTTCACTTTCAAACTACCCCCTTGCTTGCGCAGAAAGGCAACATGAACCCAAAAAAATGGTATCAGAACTCATAAAACAAGAAAAGGACCGGAGAAGATGGAAACAGATTCTAATGGCACCAATAGGAGAAGAAAAAACTAAGGAAGAATATGTTTATTAGCTTTCCTTGATCGAGTTTCAATGAATTTTTAATCTTTTTGTTTCGAAGTTTTGACCTTGAAGCTTCAGCAACCGGCCTCTTTCCGAAACACAACTGCAGAGACTTGACATGAACTCAAAGAGTCGTCTTCTTTCTCTCGAGGAAGCAAGTCACATCATGGACTTTCCTTTAAGTCAAAACCCCTTCTTATATTTCTCGCTATAAATATATCTCTTCCTCGCCATTGTTTCACCACAACACAACACACAAAAGCACCTGAAAAAGAAAAAAAAAACAAAACAAAGCATTCATTCATAAAATAGCCGAAGGAGAGCGGGAAAAAAAGGCAACAGCTTGAGCAATGGAACGCAGAAAGTCCTACGTGCTTGTCGCGCTCTTTGTTCTGCTAATCTTGACAGAAGTTGCAATAGCAGAAAGCAATGGCGGAAAAGGAAACGGGAACAATGGAAACAACGGTAATGGCGACAATGGAAATAACGGTGAAGGAAAGGGCGATAACGGTAACGGAAAGGGAAAGGGAAAAGGAGATGACAAGAAGGGTGATGGTAAAGACAAAGGGAAAGGTCCAAAGGACAAGGGCAAGGACAAGGGTAAGAAAGATGAATCTGCTTATTACAGGGTGCTGTCACCATTGCCAACGGGGCAAGAACAGGCGAGGTGCGAGGCTCAGGGCGCGTGTTATTACAAGACGGTGGTTTGTCCTTCTGAGTGTCCCCAGAGAAAGCCCAAGAAGAACAAGCAGACAAAGGGTTGCTACATTGAATGCACCAGCAAGTGTGAAGCTACCTGCAAGTGTAAGTCTCTGCAAATAGATTTGTTCTTGAATAGGTTTGCCAATAGCTTCCATCGCAATGAACATGGATTTTTTTGCATACAAAAACTTTTCTGTTCTATGATCTATCTACAGTCAGAGAATTGTTAATTCTAACACGAGGGACAAGGGTTTTAACCGGTTTCTTTTTCTTACAGGGAGAAAACCTAACTGCAACGGCTACGGCTCTCTGTGCTACGACCCACGATTCATCGGAGGAGATGGTGTAATGTTTTATTTCCACGGAGCCAGAGGTGGAAACTTTGCGATTGTCTCAGACCACAACCTTCAAATCAATGCTCACTTCATCGGCACCAGACCCGCTGGGAGAACTAGAGACTTCACATGGGTTCAGGCCTTCAATGTCATGTTCGAAAGCCACAACCTCGTGATCGCGGCCAAGAGGGTCGATCAATGGGACGACAAGGTCGACGAGTTCACCCTTAGATGGAACGACGAACCCATCGCTCTCCCGGACGACGAACAATCGGAATGGAGGGCCTTTTCTGGAGAAAGAGAGATCGTCATCGAGAGAACCGACGAGAGAAACAGCGTCAGAGTCACTGTCTCTGGTCTTGTCCAAATGGACATCAAAGTGAGACCCATCGGCAAAGAAGAGAACAGAGTCCACAACTACCAGTTGCCGGAAAATGACGCTTTTGCCCATCTGGAGACTCAGTTCAAGTTCTTCAGCCTGAGCGAACTCGTGGAGGGTGTTTTGGGAAAGACATACAGACCGGATTATCTCTCCGGCGTGAAGACCGGAGTTCCGATGCCGATAATGGGCGGAGAAGACAAGTATCAGACACCATCGCTGTTTTCTCCGGTCTGCAGAGTCTGCATGTTCAAACCTCAACCACTTTCTGCAGCTGTCTGAGAAGAAATAGCCCTAAGTTCATGGTGAATCAACCGAACCTATAAAACGTTTCTGATGTTTTTTTTTTTTGTTTTACTTTAATTATATTTCTATTGTATTTGTGAAATAATGGAATAAGGGCCAAGAAAGAGATGTTGCCCGTTATACTTTTGTAACTTGTAATCGTGATTTTGCGGGTCAAGAAATTATAAAGAATCGTTTATTCTTGTCGCTTGTTTTGCCAATACACGAATATGCATGCATTTGCATAAACACTTCAAGAATCGAGAGGAGACACTCCATGGCAACATATATATGGATATATACATACATTTACACGCAAACACGCACATGTATAATTAAATATTATGTGCATGTTTTAGGGATATAGATATATGGTTTTAAATATTTCGATCTAAATTTCTGAGGAAGCAACTGTGTTTGTGGATTCTCAGGACTCGAGAAACAGCTGGAGATACTTCAAGATCACTCTTAAGTCCCTTGCGCTTTTGGACTTCTAACTAAGAGTTGACTAAATAAAGACAATAAAAGCAAAAAAGGCTCTTTTTAAAATCCCAAGCTAGGGTTTCTTGCGATCCACGGAAATTAAATAAGATAACAATACGTTTTGGGTGTAAACGTATCGATTATAAGCACCATTCTCCTTTTCCTTTTTTTTTTGGGTTGATAATCCGGAAGTTCGTCGTACCTTTGTTCCGACTATATCTCCCAGAACATCGGGGAAGCCCAGGTAAATATTCCTCCCCACGCTTGGGATTGAATCCAGGATGAAAATATGCTTTGCATGTTCTCTCACCACTAATCCACCCAAATTTGGATCATTCTCTTTTTCCTTTGCGTAGCCGCAAATGAAAAGGATAATGTTTTACCAAACATTTCGTGATGGTTTTTGAAGAAGCTTCTTTCTTTGAGCTAAATGGGACGTGTTAAATCTATCCTCTCCTCCCCATCACCGTCATCATCTGAAGAGCCAATAAGATTCGGAACACGTGTTCTGTGACTTATGTGTAGAAAATTACATCCAACAATAAATAGTATTTGTTTATATTTTTTTTTGGTAATTAGGAGGTTTATTAGTCTTTTGAACCATTTAATATTCTGAATCCAAATCAACATTTAGTCACACAATTAATTGTGTCTCTCATCTCTACTAATAGAATCGAAATCAGATTTTGTGATTTTGCGAGCTCTCAACCACTGAGAGAGTGATGAGCCACCAACCAATGGGTTTGTTCGTTTTTTTATTATGGAGTGAACGTTTTTACACCACATTTGTCTTGGGGTCATCTAGAATGTGGATGCACGAGATCGTCGAACATGAGCTTGGACCGAACAACGAGTTCTATAAATTTTTACCAGGGGGAAGTTCTCATGGTTCATTCTAATAGGGAAATGTTTTTCTATTATTGATAATGAGAATAATACATCATAATATATAGCAAAATATAATAGAATATTCTAGTTATAATATCTAGGGTAAATCATAACAATATTAATGATAATATTCTAAGAATAATATCTTCCTATATACCCTCAAGATGAATCATATATGATGAATTCAATCTTGTTACATAAAAACTAAAAACTGAAATTGTGATCGTATTAAACGAATCATCTTCCATGTAGTGGTGTAGTCCAGACTTGAGTTGGTGTTGCTTGATAACGTTTGAAGAGCTTGAGAGTTGTATTCTCAGAGGCTGATGTGGCACGGATGTGCGGCGCATATGCGCGAGTTGGGTTGCGCGACAATGAAGTCGGCAGCGCAAAAAAAATTGCGATGAGTATAGCGGCTAGGCCGGAGAAAAGAAAAAAAATGGGCGTAAAAGCGCGACGCATAATGCGTGATAGTCTAGCAGCGGGACAAGAGAAGAAAATAAAAATAAATGACGCAAATACGTGGATCGGCGATCGGAGTTTTCCAATCGAAAGAGGCTAAAAGCCATGTTTAAAGAGCTCACAACGGCTAGGGTTGACATCGATAAACGAACGTCGTCAGGGAAAAAAAAAGTAGCACATCGGCTAGGGTTGACGGTGATGAACACCGCCGTCGGGGAAAGAAAATAGAAGAAAAAATAAACTTAAAACGATACTCAATGTGATAATACTATTGGATTTAGTATATATCATCATCTTCATCGTCGCTTTGGGATTCAACCACCATTGTTGATGAAAAAAAAAATCTAAAACAAAAACCAGGCTCTGATACCATAATAGAGAAATGTTTTTCTATTATTGATAATGAGAAGAATACATCATAATATATAGCAAAATATAATAGAATATTCTAGTCATAATATCTAGGGTAAATCATAACAATATTAATGATAATATTCTAAGAATAATATCTTCCTACACATTCATCTATATATAGGTTTTTTACCAAACAAAAATCTAGATATGGGTTTCTTGAACCGCAAGAAACCTGCAAACCCATGTTTATACAGTGTTTTACAACGTCCAAAACGCAGAGATCGTATGTAAAAGAGCTTCTTTGCCTTGGCTAACCTTCCGAGTAAAACCGTGGGTTTCTGTCAATGCATAATGCATTCTATGGAAATTGGGAAAACAAAAATTCAGATTAAGAAAAAAAAATCCAGTTTTAGAAAAATGGTTTCTTTCCACTAAAATCAAAACCTTATATCACCGTTATACCAGTGATTGTCATTGTATTGAAGCGGTATTATATCAAAACTACGTTTATTTTGCTTAATACCATATTTTTTTAACTTATTTTTTTATTTTTTTTATGACCAATGTGATCACCATATAAATTTAAACGGTGTGATTAATGTGATCATCATATATTTTTAAATTTTTAATGGTGTTACTAGTATGATGTTAAAATCGATTGAAATAGATCACATTGATCACACAAAAAAAAATGTAAAAAAGTATGCTTTGAAGTTCATGTAAAGATATTTTTATAATACCCCTCTTAAAATACCACCTTAGATTTAGACCATTCTTTTTTATAGGCATATGAAATAATGTTATAAAAAACTAATATCCGCTATAAAGTTTAGCCATAGGAAAGAACTCTGATTCGAACTGGTTCAGATTATACAAAAAAAAAACACATTATGTATACGAGGGATGAGGTAATTTCGACCATACTTCTACTTCAACAACGTAGAGCCCATGTCCATGGCGGCCGAGCCCACAGTGGCCGGAGCCAAGTCAGGTCGATCATGTTTCAACATCAGTGGCCTGTTTGATGGATACAAATGATGCTGAAGACGGTCTTGTTCATGTCTTCCCACTCCAAGGAAGTCTCTTGTCAAGCCGCCAGCTTCATCCACTACTTCCCTTGCACTTGAACCGCCTTCTCGTGCTCCGGGCAGTGATCCTTTGTCCATATTTCCCGGCGACCCTTGACTACTCTTCGATGTCGGGTCTGTTTGTTTCTTGGGAAAATTGGAGTTTTGATGCATATTGCTGAAGAGGGTCGAGGTCATTAGCCCTAGGGCAGTGGTGCTACCGTTGGAATTGGATCTTGTCGAACCCATTTGAGCAGCCTTTTGGAGCAAAGCCGTGGCCGACATGTATGGGTCGGACCGGCATATATTGTTGTTGTCGCTGTCGTTGTTGTTTGGTGTGAACAAAGAAGCTAAAGACGGATCTGTCTGGTTCAAGCTTCTACTACTTCCACTTATATTGCTCCCTTTCTTGATCTCCCCTTCTTGATTCTTTGCCATTCCCCTTTGGAAAACGTTGTTTGTGTTTCCATCAAGTGGCCATTGATGAGAAAACTGTCCCTGTAACTGCCATAGAGTGTGAAGAGAATCGGATGTACCACTAGGGGAAGACGAAGAAGAAGAAGAAGAGGACAACCCGAAAACGTTCATAAGCGGTGAGATTTGGTCGGGGAGACAGGAACTAGTGCAGTTTTGTCCGGAGAAGACATTGGTATTGCGGCTGAGATTGAGACAAGGTCCCATGAGAGTATGATGATCCAACTGAGGAGGAGTTGCGTTTTGTGATGCAGATGGTGGAACCCAGGTGAATCTTGTACTCTCTTCGGCCAAAGCGTCGCAGAAGGCTCTATGAGTGATGAAACTATCCTTCCTGTTCCAATTATATTTATAATCAAATAAGAAGCTAAATCAATCATACATATCATGAATGTATATACATACATACATACATGTTCGTATGCCTATGAATGTGTGTGTATACATATCTATAGAGAGAGAAGGAAAATCTAAAAAACTTTAACCTATATATCATGACATGACCATCATGTTCTAATCATAGCTTGACCTTTTTGTCATCGGTATTCGTGTCTCAATGAAACTATTTTCCATGTAAGAGTCCAAGAATAAACGTTTCTGATGTATAAATACAAGCAAGATGCCAAGAATATATATATATATATACATACACTACATGCGTCTTTTTCTGGATTTATGACAGCAGGATCATCTTAAAGCTCAATATCTAGACTTGTAACTACATGAGACAACACGTACATGCAAATGGAAATGGAAACATGTCAAATACTACCATTTTTGTACGTAGGTAGCAGCCATAATACAAACAAAGGCAAAGGCACAAACAAATTCGTATGTGTATGTATATGCACATGTATATATATATATATGTAGCGATCACCCCAAAAGGTTCGGATACAGTTCTCATCGTTAGAAAACAAATGTATATATACGAAACGTTTATATATATACATAAATACCTGGAGAAGAGGATACCACAATCGCATCGATATTCTCTGGTACCACAAATCTTGCAATGGGCTTTCCAATCGGACATGACAGCGTACTTCTTGGAACACTTTTCGCACTTCCACTTCTTCTCACCATGCTTTCTGCTGTAGTGTTTCTTGATTCCTGTAAGATCGCCGAGGGCTCGAGCCGGGTCATGGTGGACGCAGCTCTTCTCGGGGCAAATGTACACTTTCTTCTTCACCTGTTCTTTGTTCGTCCTTTGCTTCAGCTTCCATGGCAGATTGTGTCCTCTCCTGTGAAGCTGCAGGTTCTGATCTCTCTGAAATCCTTTGTTGCAGATTTCGCAGACGAACCTGTTCGTTGCCATGAGTGAATTTGGTGATAGAGCGATGACTTCTGCATCTGGATCTGGGTTTTGCCGAACCAAAAAACCAAGAAAACAAATCCATCAAGAGAGAAAAAGATCCATGATTTGTGAGAAAGTGTGTGTTTTGATCAAGACCCGTAAAAGGAAGCCGAAAACAAATATCCAATATATTTAGGTTTCAAGTGAATCACTTCACACACACACACATATATATATATATATACATGCCTGGTGTTCCTGGGAGGTTTCTTCTCTTCTTGGATGGGTTTGTGGAGGTAGGAGGGTTAGGGTTTGGATTTGGGTTGATGGGTTCTTGTTGATGAACAAAGTTAGGGAATGAAAGATGGCGATGATCATCTGGCATCATCATGTTGACAGAGATTCAAGGAAAGAGGGCAAAACAGGAACACGGACAGACAAATATATATAAAGAAACTATAACTTAATTTGTCTAACAAAACAAAGGTAAAGAACTCAAGAGTATAAGGAGACAGAGAGAAAGCATTCGGAGTTTGGTTATATAATTGCGGTAAAATGTTTAAAAGTGGGGATTTTTTTCCCCGAAGTTAAAAAAGGTTCAAAATTTCCTTTTGTCATTGATATAAAGAAAAATAATAATTATAATTATTTGTATTATTTTGTTCACTTGTATAGAGTCTTGTAGGATAACACCAAAAAGAAAGCTGGCGAGAGGGAATCTCTCTCTCTCTCTCTCTCTCTCTCTCTCTCTCTTACAAAGTCGGTCAGCGATGGGCTCGAACTGGACCACTGTCCATCTAACACCACAACTTACACAAGTGGACATATACACACAGACATACTATGCAACACATGCATGCGTAGGTATATACATACATTTACATACACATGTATACAATTATATATCTTTAAGCTTTGGACTTGCAAAATTATAATTAACTTAATTGACTTATAAAAAATATGAAGAAAATTATGTTAAAAACTTTCATATATATACACACACACACAAAGTTATATATATGACTATATTTGCGTACGTACGTAGTCACGATTTCTCTATCACATGCGCGTCTTATGCGCAATAGTGAAATAATACATTATATAATTTACAGGGGATAAAATTGAATATTCGTGAGGATAATTAAATTTCATATCAATCGATCATAGGAAAGAGCGTGATAATGAAGATCATGATGAAAGATGCACCTTTTTGAAAGTGTTAAAGCTCATACTGAATCATTAGTTTATGAGTGACATCAAATCCATGTTTTGAGAAAAGAAAAACTTCCACATTCAACGACCATTTTTTTTATAATGGAAGGAATCACCACGACCTTTCGGATAAAGAGTGAACTCGTCGGTTTCACACAATAGCTTGCAAACTATGTACAACAGATACACCAGTCGAAACTGATATGATTCATCGGAAAAGGTTACGTTCAGTTTAGAACGTGAAAAATGATCTTAGAAAAAATGGGAGGGCACCTCAAAAATATGGGCGGACAGCCTGTTTTTTCTGAGATGAGGGATAAAGCTCGAATAAACGGACGGTAACCCTAATAAATGGGCGGGTAGCTCGTTTTTTCTGATCGACCGTTTGAGCGAAAAGTCACGACCGGTCTGTAAAAACTTCTGAGTTTTCATGTCTTTTCGATGTTTTGGTGGCTATAAACTTTTAGGAAAGCCCTAATAACGTTTTTAGGAAAGTATTCGTCGCGCTTTGAAGTCATATGATGTTCTCTACTGTTTCATTTTGATAGGTTGAAGACGTGATTTTCGGATCAGATCGAAGTTTATGATCGATGGATATCGAATTTCAATGGTTCAAGTTGAAGATATCGGAAATATATCGATCACGGTGTTTTGGACATAAAGAGAAAACTTTATGTTGTCTTATGTCTTGTTGGTTGAAAAATCGACGGTAGATTTTTCTTCAATTGTGATTGGATAGATATTTTTCGGTTTGAAAAATGAGAATATATTATAGTTTGGGCTAAACTATAATGTTGAAGACTTTCGGAAAACGAAAGTTTTTGTTACTATAAGTTAATCGTGGAAAAGAAGATCTTTGAAAATGGTATATATATTGTACAATGTGTAAAGACATACATGTTAAATCATAACTATATAGAAAAATATTTGTATGTCGGTTATTTTGTGCAAATGAAAAGGTTGATGGAATATGTCAATGTTATGATGCACAAAATAGTTTAGAGATGAAAATAAAACCTTATTGTTGATTACAAATAAAAGGATCTCTCTTTAGCATCTAATACAACTTTAGAGTTTGAGTTCAAAGAGTTAAACCTTTTATCTTGTGATTGAAAGTACGCAAATAAAAATCATCCTAAGGTCGGTGCTTTGAATTGCAACGTAAAGGAGGTTGGAGGTTTTTCCTTAATAGATCTTTTGAAAAAGTATCGTGTTGAACGACATGATTTTTGTTAAAAGATCTATCTATATGAATGCGAAATTTGGCTGCTTCGAAAATGCTTTAAATTTGGCGTTTATACATAGGGTTGGGTGTTTCAGGATTCGGTTCGGAATTTTAACGGTTCGGTTCGGGAACGATTTATTCGGTATTATAAAATTTGTTCCAAATTAGTACCGTATATTATTCGGTTCGGTTCGATCCGATATTATGACAGTTCGGGACGATACGTTACTAATAAATAAGTACCAAATAAGAACCGAAATAAAAACAGTTCGGAACGGTTCGGGACGGTTCATGACATATTTATAATTCATATAATATAAAAGTAAAGAGATTAAACATAATAATTTTATACAACAAAATAAAAGTTTTGAACTTGTAAACTTGGAAAAAAAATTCAACATTAATCTCAATACATTACGTAAACAAACTCTTAATATTAGTAAATATCATAATTAACTATTAATATTAAATATTTTTTAATTAAAAAAATAAAAATACCGAAATATCGTTCGGTATTTTTCGAACCAAACCAAACCATTTTCGAACCGTTCGGTATTTCAAATTTCATACTATTCGGTATTTTTATATAATACCGAACCGAACTGAAACCGAATTAATCGGTTCGGTACGGTTCGAGACCAGATTCTCGAACCGAATTGCCTACCCCTATTTATACATTCATGAAGAGGATATGGACACATGACCATATAAAAGTGTCAAGGTAAACATAAACTTGTATTGATTTTGTGTGTATTATGTACTCGTTAGCTCAATAGAATTACGTAGTTTCAATCGTTTTCGACATCTATGGAATTCGAACTATTGAAGTATATTTCTCTACGTGTAAGTTCAATCGTTATAACACTTTCATTATGCACAAAATTGGAAAATGTTTGAAAAACACTTGATTGTTTCAATCATTTGTTGTTTACTCTAAAATGGTGGAAGATTGTTGGTATTTTAGAGTAAATGGTTGATTGGTTTTAATCTCTCACGGGATTCACGATACATATGTATTACGAGTATGGTGGAAGAGTAAAATACTTGTAACATGTCGTGAATTGGTTTAAAGTGTTATGATTCATCGGAAAATGTTACGTACGGTTTAGAACGTGAAAAATTATCTCAGAAAAAATTGGAGGGTAGCTTGAAAATGTGGGCGGGTAGCCTGTTTTTTCTGAGGAATAAAGCTCGAATAAACGGGTAGTAACCCTAATAAACGGATGGGTAGCTCGTTTTTTCTAAGCGACCGTTTGAGCGAAAAGTCGTGACCAGTCGGTGAAAACTTCTGAGTTTTCATGTTTTTCGATGTTTTGGTGGTTATAAATACACTAGAGACCATATAACAGAAGAAGAAGATAAAAACACAGATTTATGCCAAGATCTAAGCGATTTTGTGAGAGATTTGAGTGTGTTCTTGCGGATAGTTTTCTGCAGAAAATTGTCGCAAGAGTTTCTTTGTTTTCGGATAAACAAGGTTCTGTTGATGATTATCGAAAGGATAAACCGAAATCACTGTCGCTTCATTGTATCTCAAAAGTGTATTCCTGTAATCTTATTTACTAGGTAGGGATGAAATAACGCTTTTAGAAAAATGTTCGTCACGGCTTGAAGTCATATCCGGTTCCCTACTGTTTCACACGTGTTTTGATAGGTTGAAGACGTGATTTTCGAATCAGATCGAAGTCGTCATTTTACCGGGTATGTATGTGTTTTTCATATTATCGATTTTTTACAACAATCTAAAAGCGTTAGATTTGTACGTTGATATCGACACGCATGGACAAACCCAAGTTAATAAGAGTGGAGGCACATACACCAATTGATCCAATAAAAATATGATAATTTTCCTTATAAATTTTATAAAATTTTAAATACATTAGTTAAATGACCCCATATAAATATTGAAATTAAATTGTGCCCTCTTTTAAATATTTTTCTAAGTCCGGCCATGTCGGCACGTATGATGCGTTTACATATTTATTAATTTTTCTCTAACATTATATATACCGAATTTATCTAAAATATACGCTAGAGATTAAACGTTTGAATTCATGTGTTTTTATAATTAAATAGTATTAATTCAACTAGTAGTAGAATAAATAATATATATATATATATGTAGGATATTTCTAAGTGAGATCAACGGATATGAAGCATTTAACAAGAAAGATTTAGAAAGGGAAAAAAGGAAAGGAAGTTGCCTTTACAGCCAGCAATCACATATATGACGGGGCAAGAAATCGTCATGTCATAATTCAACCATAATTACGTTTGGCCCAAAGATTTCAAATATATGTATCTATATATATATATAATGTGTGTGTATATAGAGAGAGAGAGTGATTAAAAGGGCATGTGATAGATCCTCAGTACACACCATGAGACATATAGAATCATCACCTTCTGTTTTTTTTTTTTGATACATTGGGGAACCCGTGACTACCTACCTTTACAAACGGAGACGAACTGACCACCACCCGCGCCTAACAGTCCCTATGGACCTCAGTCCGCCGGACCTGGCCACCAGGCGCGCCTAACGCTCGGGCCGTAGTTGGGCTTATGCGTCTGCGGGTCAAACCCCAAACCCACGCGCACGAACCTACAACACACGTGTAGAAGGTAAATCATCACCTTTCTGTTGATCTCATCATAAACCTGTTGTGCATATATGTCTATTTACAGTTTATTCTTTCATGGAAATCGAGTCTATATGTATATATATTGGAAAAACAAATGCTGTGATGTATTTACATTTACGATATTATTAATTTGATGATTACAGAAATTTTGGTTTTCTATAATTAAAAGCAACTCCTTACTTGGATCTTGATGATTATGTTTGTCAAAGATTTTTTCTTTTTATGTACCAAGTCTGCTATTCTTTTTTTTTAATTAAGGTTACAACATAAGAAAATATAATTCTAATATTGACGATTGAATCCAACACATTGCATATATATTTTGTTTACATATATCTGGAAATTGAGAACGCTTTTTCTGTATATTTCTTTTTTTTTTAAATTAGTAAGAAACGAAATTACAGAGGTTGAGATTGCATATGGAAA